AAGCATCGAAGTCTTTAACTAACGTGATACCGGAGTCAACAAGCATACTTTTAGAATTTGCTTAAAAGGGAATATAATATGGAATCGCGTATCTAAAGAAATTAATAACGATATAATTATATTCATGTACCGCAACACAAGAATAGTACACGCTGTACATTGTCTGTTGATAATGTTTCTGTAGACAACAGAAGAAAAAAGAAAGTGAAAGAAAAAGGAGAATAGCAAACTGACTAAGGAAAACCACCACCAATCTTGCATACCCCACGAAGCATTAATGTATTGGTTTAAAGCCCAATCAAAGATAAAATTATACACAATAGAAGCATAAGGATTGTAGTTAAAATTATTAATCACAATTATACAAACATTAATTAAATTATTGTACAAAGTTGGAAAGTATGTATCAGGATATTTACAAATAAAATCCAGGACGTACCTGACAACTGTTAAATGAAAGGGTTTTTTTTTTTAAAGAGTAAAGGCTAAAAGGCCATCAGTTGAACCGATTTCCTCTGAGTCATTTACATTTTTAATCACATTCAGACCCTGTTGTTGAAAGGCTATTTGATTACCCCCCAGCTTTCAGGGAATATAATTATTCTTGGCCTCTAACAGCATTTGAAATATGGAGACTGGCTTTGTTTTCCCCGTGGTTTAAGTGAAATATACAGTTTACTTCCAAAGCATCCAAACAACATCAACTGGACAAGTTTAATATGGAAAATGGACTGTGATTGTTTAAGTTATGTTAAAGCTTAAGTTACAGTATTTTTAAGTTATTTTAGAGTAAGTGTGCCTGCAGTTATTTCCCTTAAAAAGACCTTCAAACCCAGTTTTTTTAAGTCATATACTGTAAAGAAACATTCAGTCCTACAAGGAAATATCCTTATAGTATCCAATAATAAAGTTCCATATTTGACTAAATGTATGTATACTAAACCAATTATCTAAAGAGCCGATAGATCTACATGTACAATACAGTATCTGTACAAAACTACAATAGTTTTAACTACAAGAGTAAACTCTTAGGAGAATAAGCTTTCTTACTCTTTGCAGTAGATATGTATTAAGTGCTTTTTTTATTTTGAATAATTCTTTAGTGTCATACAGCTACAATGTACTTCAATGGCTAGAATTCCCAGCCAAATGGAGAGAAATTTCCTTAGTTGTTGACCAACTAGATCCCTGCTGTGCTTTGCCTATGTTAATTAAGTTTCTAATTATCAATATTTGTATATTATAGATATAATGTTCTAGTTGCAAAACCTAATTAACTGCGTTTACCTTCTTTTCAGTTTATAGTGATATAATAAACAGTAAGTGGAAATGGGAATAGCATCTTATCAAAATCTTATTTAGGGAAGTAGAGGTTTATTTATACAATGAGCAAAGGATCAATATGTTTGGATATAGTGACATAGCAAATCCCATTAATTTTCTAGTCATAAATTTCTGTCACCCATTTATTATGGTACTGTATGGTGGTTAGTTATCATAACCGCATAAACCATAACAAAGCAATTCCTGTATAATACCAGCAAACATCTTTAGTCATTTCAGTAATGCAGAGTATTCAACAACATCAAAATAGTAATGATATCCTACAGCACAAGAATGGCTAAAAAACCCGAACTATGTATTCTGTTTCAGTACCATGCATTAATCTAAACCCAAAATGAAATGCATGTGATTAAGTGGGTCTTGAGGTGGCCCTGAGTGGTAAACACAAAGATGATGGTGCAAAAAAGGAGGATGAGCAGCACAGGAGAGTGGAGAGAAAGAATAGCTATGCTTTGAGCAGAAAACTAGTGGACAGAGTGAGAGGTAGCTTGGGGCTAATAGAATGATAAAGGAAGTAGTAGCTGAGAACCAGTGTCTGGTCTTCTTCTTAAAGATTCCTCTTATCTCTCATTGGCTAGAAAAGTACCATAAAATAAAAATCCAAAAGTCCACAATGTTGGGTCTTATCTATTCAGAACATCTGGAGGCCATAAAAAATAGAATTCCATTTTTGTATTGTAAAATGAATTTGTCACCTTGTTATTTAATACCTTTGCAATGTAAGCAATAGGCCGATATTTTATTTCACTGCATGTTTTAACTGGGCCAAATAATGAGTTTGATGGATTGGATTAGCTGGAGGCACTGGTTTTGATTTCTAAAGCATACAGTATGGCTCACAATGGAGAGTATGCCTGTAGAGTGAGGCTTGGTCTCACACAGTTAGCTAGAATAATCTCTTGAGGGGTCCTGACACTTCATGTTTTTTCTTTTGCTCCTGGCTGACAAGATTTTGAGATGAAGCTTCGACAAGGAGATGATTTAGTGGGTCAGTATACAAAGGGAAGTAGAAAAGCAAGCTTGAGCAGGGCTTCACTAATAAATTACTTGAAATTATTGAAAGAGTATTTGCTTTCCCTGCATGCTGTTCTGAAAAATGTCTGAAAATTCACATTTTCCTAGAGAAAAATGACTTTCACAGCACATCAGTAGACAGTTTTGTATTGGATAATTTATTCTTCTCTACAATCGGAGCAAATGGAGCCTTACCTTGTTTGACTGGATGAAGTATCTAATTTATAAGATATAACTTATTTTTCAAGTGTACAGTACGAGAGGACATACAGTATCTAGTATATTGCTAGTGGTCGCTCTGCAAAACATTTTTTTAAGTTAGAGAAATATTGGCACTTAGCTAATTCACATCGAAATATATTCCTAAATGTCTTTTCTGCTCAAAGTTTCATGAACATTTCATAATATTCAAACAAAAGCTACAGAAACCATAAATAAAGGGGAGAGTAAAAGGAAATTTAAGGAAAGTTATTTAGTTTAAATAACCACCAAAAGTGTGAATGTATACTGTATCTTAAAATTAAATCAGTACTTAATTTTTATTCTCAGATTCAGACATTCAGATTCAGAATTGTTCATGTTCAGTTTAAAAAAGAACAGAGTACAGTACAGAGTTGGGAAAAAGTACCTTTAGAAAACAATGTATTTCAGTTACAAGTTATTTTAAAAGGTATTTTAAGTGCTTCCCTATGCTATTTAATCATTACCTAAATCTAATAATGGGAACAAGACATTATTTTCAAAAATGCAGTTTTCACTTATTAATCAGTTTCATCTGATATAGAGCTATACTGTACATTCCATATTTGGCTTTCTTGTTTTAGTGATGCATTTATTTAAATAGACTGTTCATAAATTACATTCAAACTTAATTACATTTTAAAGCAAACAACAATATTCCATATAAAAACTATATAAATACAGAGGCAAATATAAGACAATATTTAATAAAACCATGTTTAATTAAATTAGAAATAAAAGCACATTAGAAAAAAGTTCAAATACAGTGGAAAATTAGCAGAATTTAATTTGACTCCTGTTTCCTTTCTACCCAATGCTGGGTTTAGAATTTGTGATTGATGGTGAGGTTGACATTTCTTTTTAATTCTGGCACTGGAACTATATGTTCAAAAACAAGAGAGTTCCAAAACATTTTAAGTTTCTATATTCTCAGCAGTTCCTAATTAAATACTAAATCTCTTTTTACTAAGTTTCAGTCTATGTTTGCTCTGCAGTCTGAAAAACCATTTGAATTGACATCTGGACTAAATAATGTTTATTTCTTTAGTAAAGCTTTGAACACCTCTGTCACGTCACCCCTACTTTGTCTGCTAAATGGAATTATTTTAATCTCCCCCCATAAATCTTGGTCCCAACTGAATCTTGAATTCATGAGATGTCCTACCACGTGAGATACAAAATAAAATAATTTCTTGTGATTTACATACAGTATGACAGACTTAGCCTGTATTTCTCAAGCACCATGTTGTTCCCATTAATTGCTTCCAGCCACTATACAGATGCCAAAATGAATGGAAAATCCACTGTACATTATTTTTTTCCAACTTGTAACCACACATTTCAGTGTTAAAGCCATTTATTCTGTACATGCAGAGCTTCACATTTAGTAACAAAAAAGTGTTCCAGGTTATCTTCCACATCTGTACCTAACCAAAGAAAATGTTCAACTGAACAACAAATTCTATATATAACATACAGTAACCCCTTTGGAGATTGTCTAGGACAGCCTGATTTGTTTGGTAGAGGTCTGTGGTCTAACAAGATCATTGTAGAACATCACTGTAACCTGTTTTAATTGATCTTATTTTGTTTTGTTCCCTTTACTTGTCCCACATAGGGCAACAGTGTGGAGCAATACTCATGACTGAAAGGCTGTCAAAGGTTGAAATCATTGGTGAGGCACTTTTTTTTTATCTTTGAACAAGGGACTACACTCTGATTGTTTTTGTAAAATGTCAAATCATTCAAAGCCAAGTATCCAAATTACTATGGATAAAGCATCAGACTAATAAATTATGTAGATTTGGCCATAATAGGTACTGTATAACCAAGTAAAGCCTACAATTAAGTATATAAAAAATGTTTTTGGTGGTAAGTTCAAACTTACAACAGCAATATATTATGGAACTCCAGTAACACATGATTACCTTATACTGTCTAAAATTGTCACTTACCAAGCGTTGGGTCATATTCCCAGATGAAACGCTTGGTCAGAAATCTCACCACAAGAGCTGTAAGTAAAGAGAAACACATTAATAATGACCTTTAAGCTTCAAGGGGAAAATAAGAGTTAAGCAGTAAGCCTTTATCCCATCACTGTGTTCAGTCAAGTCTCACCTTTTTTATAAGATTTTTTCTTCCTTTTGCGCGAGTGCAAATAAAACATGTCTTAATTACCAGGAGATGTTTCTCCTCAGGAAAAGACTTTGTACTGTATGTTCAATGTCTGTAAGGATCCAGTTGTATACAATTAATTCATTTTTCATTTCATTTCTGTCCAATAGTAGCATGTTTCTCATTCAAAGGTCAGATATAATGCTTAAACTCTGACATCTAAATGCATTACTCACACACTACTTGAGCATAACATTTTTTCAGAAGATGCATAATGTACTGTATCCTAACAAAGATGGAAAGGTTTGGTAACTCATATTATTAAGGCTCATCACATACAGCCTAATACATGCCAGTCTCCAGCTCATTACAAGGTAACCTGTTTAGTCCACATTCGTCACAGCAGTGTGTGTATTCTAATAACTGAGATTGTGTAAGATTAGCCTAATTTTAGATAGGAAGTCTTCTGTTTTAACAGTTGAACATGCTAAACAGGTTGTGTCAATCTTTGTACTTAAAGACCAGTAGTTGTATGTAAAACCAGTAGTAAGTCAATACTATACCCAAAAAGTAGTCCTGTAGGTGTCAATCAATAAGGAATTAGATTTGAGTTATATGAATAATATAAAGAATATAAGGAATTCATGAATATTATTTGCTCACAAATGTAAATGGTTTGGTTATTTCTTAATAAATGTTCCTTCTTTTGCAGCCTTTAAAGTACTTTTTATACAAAATAATGGTTAAAAACTAGTAATATAACAGCTTGCAGGACGTTTTGGTTAGAATTTATTTTCTGTCACCAACTTTTATCATCTGTTGAACACATTGCTGTTCCTAAATATGAATACATCCAGAATTAATTACTTTTATATTTTGATGTTATTATAATGTTTCAGCATGTTGCATTCATTAACTTCAGAATTCATATTTAATGCTCTGCTTTATTAGGTGATACTTGGTGACATACAAAAAATACTCCCGTGTACAGCTTCATGAGAATGAGAATACTGGATTTTTTCATTACATGTGCCACTTTCATCCAGTTTATATAATTTTTTGTAAACAATTAAAGTAATGCAATGTATTTTGAAAATTAAAGAACATTTACATTTTGTAAAAAATTTAACTGACACCAAAACCATTTTCCACATGTTTGTAGTATTACATACTGTATGTGCTTTCTTGCAAGCCCCAAGTGGGATTTGAGATGTTTATTGTAGTTCCCTTTGTGGAGTGACCTCGATATTGTTGACCCAGATATTTTTTCCAACTCAGACACTGAGCTACAGTATATAATTCTTTATAAGTCAGTTAGCCTCACAGGGTCTCTAACCAGTTTCTTCCTGGCCAGGTTGCTCAGTTTGGTGGGACAGCCAGATCTACAGGAGGTAGTGTTTGGGTACATTCCACTTCTTAATGATTTACGTCACTGGGTTCAAAGAGATATTAAAAATATTTGAAATAGTTTAATATCCTTCTAACCTGTGCCTTTATACATCTTTAACGTTGAGGTGGTTTGAAAGCTCTTTGGTTAAATATTTGCTTTAAATTAACTACCTGACTGAGAGACCTTACAGATATACAGTAGGTTATTTATTTATTCAGAAATCATGTGAACCCTAATTACACACAGAGGCTCTACTAAACTCAATTAAATGGCTCAAAATTATGTTGCCACAAATTTAGGTTTAATTTATGTTTGCCACAGCAAAGGGTTGGAATATGTATGCAATCGTGACCTAATTATCTATTTCATTAATTTTGTTTCTTGCCTTGAATGTGTGGAAAGAGTTGTGTGTATAACAAACATTAATTGCTACTTCAAAGTGGGATGACTGTAAGCTTTAAAGCAAATGTTAAAGCCTTTCAAGGCACTTTATACAGTGACTTCAGAGATTTGCTGCTTCAAACAATAATTCATTCAACCTCCCATTCATAGTGTTAGTTTCTACAGACTGAATTTTGCTCTGGGATATTTCTTTTCCAGCAACACAGCTAAAACCTTGGGCTCATGTAACTTGAAGAACCTGTTTGAATCTCAGGAGAAGATGATAAGTTTTCACTATTGAAAGAGACTATAGAAAATAATTTCTTTGGAAAATGGAAATTGGAAATTATTGTGCTGAATGCTTTAAACATAATCCTGTCCCTTAGGGCCGAATTCATTAAATGTATTAAAAAACAGCAATCACTGATATGGTACACATTTTTTGTGGTAATGAAAAAATGAAAAACAACATCAATCTTGAAGATAGCTTTTTCCTTCCAATATAATGAAACTCCTCCGAACATCATTAATCTAGACATACTGCATCACACTCCTTTAACCTCTTCTTTATATCCTTTTTATTTTCCTCACTTTCATGTATTTAGTGTGTTTAAATGTTGAGACTTTCCTCTTGTGCTGCTGTGACAGGGCTGTCATTTTGTTATGTTTTTTTTTTCCAAAGTAAAGTTTCATAAATGGGTTTATTCTAAAATATTGTTACATGGGCATTTTCAAACTTGATCAGAATTGAAGACACTACCTGACAGAAGGTACAAGTGATCACCAGAAGTAAACAGAAACTAATTAATGAATATGTTTACATTCATTATTATTAATGAATAATAAAATATTACCCTTAGGATCTAATGCCTGGGTGCAATTCTGCTTTGTCACCAGGAGACAATAGTGTTCAGCTTTCACTTCCCTCCAGCCCATTTTTCTACACATCATTGGAACATGAAATCACCAGCTGCTCTTTCAGAAATGAGTACCACAGCACAGAGTCTGCTATTATCCCACTGTTAATATGGTGGAAGTATTAATAATGTCTTAACTGGATATCCATATGTTTATTAATACTGTAAGTTTATTACTTTTTTCCTAGTTTAAATTTTTATATCAGATTTTTTAAAGACTTTTAGACTAATATTTTGACTTTATAGATTATCATCTTAAATTAAAAAGCAATGATCATTAGTCTGTTTTATTTTTCTCTCACATTAAAATGTATAGCTGGGTCTTCTTCATTTCTTCTTAGTTCACTGTAGATAAATGTCTTGGCTCTTACAACTTACCCATGGAATGATTCAAATCACATCTTCCTTTAAACTGTTATTATGGGATTTTAGCCAGATCTGCAGTGCTTTTGTTCTTCAATATGTTTCTTTTTGCCATGACTAACACTCATGACTTTTAGTCTGAGAATTATTCAATGTAGCACACCCTAGCTTCAAAACATTTAGAGCCTGTCTCAGATTTCGCTCACTGTTATGAACATAAAGCACTGATTACTTGAGGCCTAAAGATAATTTCCTCTTTTTTAGCCATGACATTATACTCCCTTTAGGATAAATTTGCCCTTAACTTTATTAGAACAATATGATATTGACTGCACGATATTGGTAAACCAGATATTATTGTTGAACAGTAAACAGTTCAGTAATCACTACAATACGTGGATTTCTTAACACACAACTGTTTTATTTAAGAATAAAGCAAGACCACTTCTATGCAAGTGGTGGTAGAGGCATAACATTGATGTCTGTGAATGCTTAAGACACGCTGTCTTTAAATATCTAATACTGTTGTAAGCAATATTATGATGAGTGTATTGCTAATTATGGCACCTTGCTTTTTAAAAGTCTACCAGTAGAGTCAAGCCTGAAATTTTTCTATTACAGTAACATATTGTGTAATGCTTATAAAGTCAGTCTTCTAAGATTGTAATTAAAATGATAATGAAAACTGCAACTCAAATGTCAGAAGCACATATAATTTAATGTTTTGTAACTAGTTTATACTAATTTAAAAACAACTGAAATACTGCACATCTAGGTCCACTGTAAGACAATGGTAACTGCTGCTATTAATCTAGTAAAAGTAATTTACTGTACATTACTTGTTAGTTTTTGTTATTGTTAATGAGATTTTTCAGATAAAATGAAGGTTTCTCTCATTAACTCATCAGGTCTTTACAAAACTTTTTATCATACACAATATGAGTCACCTTAAACAGAACCTAAGAAATGTCTTCTAGATGGAGGAGGGGAGGCATTGGAGACAACTGGATTGTCTTTCTTTGTTATACTAATACATAGCATTGTTTCCAAAGTGTAAAGAAATTATCACATCAAAGAAATGAATCACCTGAGTGCAGTATTACTGCACTACAGAACATTATTTTGTAAAAAAAGAATAATAATATGCAAGGCATGCTGTCATGTAGATGAAAACCAGCATGAACGTTGGTTACCATAAGTATTGTGATAAGGATGTAATACTTCTGTTATACTGTACATTATCTTACAAATCAGTCAGTATCTTTTTTTCTTTTTCCATGTGTTACAATCAATGCAACACAGCATATGTCATTCTCATTACCATTGAGTATTACAATTACCATTACACTGCACTTTTAAATTCAAATGAAATAAATAGGGAAGTGTTTACCAATATGCATCTGCTTTTTCAAGTCTGTTATTAGACAGAGAATTATAGAAGAAGAAATACAGAATTATACATCTATTACTGCATACATTTAAATATTTACTACAGAGCTTTAGTTTCCATATAAAGTTCTGTTAACACAAACCAATTACTTTACAGGCAGAAATGTGTTACCGTGTAACTATGACATATTTCTGGGTAGAGGGTACAAGTCATTTCCTTAAGCTCATTAAGGAGACAGATATGAACAGGAAAACAGTCAACAATATTTGTTGATGTGATAGATTATGCTCTTTTCTGAATCATTTGCCTATGAAATAACTACAATTTACTGTATATTATAATTTATCCACCATGTAGACTTTCTTCGTACTCTGAACTAATATACTAGTAACTGACAGGTCATAATTTCATGTACTGTATTCCTGAACCCATCCCCTTGCGTATGAAGACCTCCCT